AAAGAGTTAAGTGGAGCACTAAGCATACCACAGGGGGTTCCTTCCATCAAAGACAACATATGGTAACTCTTACTGATAAGAATCAGTTCTTGGTAACTTTGTGGTCGAGTCACTGGAATAGGTCCTGGAAATCAGAGTTCATCTCCCAGTTCTAGAACAGACTCCATGAATGATGCTAGGTGGGGTCACTAAGCTGTTGAGCCTCATTTTCCCATCTGTTACACAGGATTTTTTTCTCCTCTCTATTTGGGTGAGGCATTTAATCTTATTTCAGGGAATAAGGAGAGTATAAGTAGCACAGTATCACGTATGCAAGCATATAGAACACCAAGCGTAGTAACGAACCACTTCAGTTTGTCTAAACTTAAAAATACCCTGAAGAGATTCTAACTTTTCCAGTTTTGCTGATTAAATTATTCCCTGCTTGAAAGTCACCGTGATTGAAAAAAAACACAATTACAAAAATTTATTCTTGCCTGAAAAAGTGCTTAGAAGTTTCCTTATTGGAATATGGCTATTGTATTTGGGGAAAAGCAAAACAAAACAAAAAGCCAAAACCAAAACACCACCCCCAAACAAGCACCACGGAAAAAACACAACCCCAAACCAGTTTCTTGAATGAGTTCTCAAAGCTGGTAGATCTGCCAACTGCCAAGATCAGTCAACACAAAGTTAATATTTTTGATGTGCAGAAATAATTAAACGCCCACCTCAGTCTATGTATCATTGTGACTTGAAGTCAAGCATTTCAAGTGACAAACAATTCAAGTTAATGTGACAGACCACAATCAATTCAAACACAACAGACAAGCCTTTAAACTTCAGTCTGCTCACATCTACTTTGTGTTGGATGTCCCAGCTGGGGCAAGAAATATTGCCTACGCTACAGCAAACAAAACAATAACAGATCAGAACTGGCGATGTCATAAGAAAACCAACAGAACAATCAAAGAAGTCAAACCCAACACCTCCACGAGGAAACCAAGAGCTGCAGAGTGTACACAATAGTGCATGACGGTAATGAATTCAATAGAGCAAAGCATCTGCCTGCTCCTACCTCACCCAGCTGGCTACAGGACATCAGTACTCTGCCATGGAGTAGGATTGTGTTAACCAAAACACAGAGCAGGTAAAATGGTACCAATAAGGACATGAAAATGTTGAAGAAAACCCTCACACACCCCTAAACACTTTTTATGCAGATTATATGTTTCTCAGATGTATTTACATATATATAGCATCTGTTATCTATCACAGCAATTTGTAGAATACAGTGTATATTACTTATTTAGATGAGAATTAAATTTCCAACTCCCATTTTTAACCCAGTCTTAGAAAACGTCAGCCCCCAAATCAGTGAGAAACAGACTTCAGAATGCACTGTACTGACAGCAGGTATGTAGGAGAGGTGATAGCCAAGTGCTGCAGAGAATTCTGCCTATAATGGAGAGACAACTAATAGTCTACAAAATCCACACAGACCAGTCCACTTAGGTGATTCCACTTTGGCTTTGGATTCTTTACCTGTGTTGGTTATACCAAATGTAAATACAGCCTTTGTTCCTGTGGGACACAAGTACAGATAAATTTCAGATTGCAGGTCAGAGGTATATATTGATATGGAGAATGTCACACTGACATAAAAATGAAATTACAAAGCTAACATTTAAATTTATCAGTTTCTTTAAAGCATCAGTATGACTATTATATGCTGGTGCCCCATCTCACACAAGGTTCAAATAACTGTGGATACAGAATATAAACCAGGAAATTTGTGAAGGGAGATTCATACCATCTGTTTAGATACCTTAAACAGGTGACCATAAATCCTGTCAAGAGCAGTGGAAAAAATTGAACTTTCTGCACAGCAGATTTAGAGCACCCAAATTAAAACTCCTAAAGATAGCTGTCACAAATGCTTCCAAGAAAGTCTAGCAAATGGCATCTCCTTATGATGGCCAACTCTTTCTACATATTGGTGTCCAAAATTTGGCTGCCATGACTGTATTCATTCTATTCCAGCTGACATTAATATGCATGGCTGGGAGTACATACAGATCAAAGGATCAGGCTACTTATCAGGCATTCAAATACAAACTCAAATCAAATTCTTAATTTGCTCGAAAGTAAATGACTTGAAATAACAGGCATATTCTCACCATGAAAAAAAAAACCCATGCTTGTTATGAATCTTGAGTAGACCCTGAGTCAATAAGAGACAGTATCATTCCACAGGCTTTAAAGGTGCTGTGATTTAAAACAGGAAGCTTTAAACCCAAACCCACACATTACATAGACAAAATATTTTAAAAACAGTGTAACAGCTTTACACATTGAAAAAGCTGTCAGAGATGCCATGTGGATCACTGACTTATTAGCACCTTTAGAAACAGATGCCCTGCAAATGATCTCTGAAAACTATAAAGTCATATTTTATCTAAAATAAAATTGTTTGCATTATTTCTTAGGAAAGATCACGTTCTATGGATCTGCTGTCCTGCACACCTAACTTACTACAGCCGTTTGTGGTTAACTACACTTCCAAAGTAAAGCTATTTAAAGGTATTCCAGCCCTCCTGCTAAATGTGCTCACACATCACAGAAGATCACCTCCTTGGTGGTACCAGTACAAATACAGGACTGCCCTGGGAAACAAATAAAAAATTGATCCTATTAAAAACTCCATGAGTTGTTAAGACAAGGAAAGTGTCTGAGCTGAGTTTAAAAGCTCAATAATTTGTAATTCCATGCGGATAATACAGTTGTACAAGAACTGTGTCAGCAAATCTGAGAGGTTAGCGGAAACTCTTTACTAAGTGTTACAGCTAAAGACCTTATTAGTACCAAACCATAACTGAAATCAAATGAGTTTCCAAGTGAATGTAAAAAATATTTTTGCCCAAGGACATTCTTGCAGGATAGGGTCTGTAATTAGGATATTGCTATGCTACACATAAACACAACTCATGCAAATCAAAAATCTAAGTTATGTATTTAGGTCATTTGTTTATATATTTGACTTCAACTTATCTATTTTTATTATAACATCTTTTCCCGAAGACTCATGTTAGGTAAGCAACCTTTCTAAGCCTAGCTTTTCCCTTTTGAGTCTGAGAAGCTTTTACAGGTGCAGCCTGGTCTTTTCAAGAACTGAGTGTTTATTCTAGGCTAGAGTCTTAGAGTGCAAACCTGTCAGCTCATTGCTGTTTCATGTTTTGTTAGTGGTCCTAGAAATTCTTTGGTGATAAACTACTGTAGAGGCATGTCAATGTGTTTAACTATTTTTTTTTTTTTTAGGAACAGGCAAAATACACTTGTTTCAAGACGTTTATGACAGCAGTTTAAAAACAAATCATGTCTCAAATACACTAAAACAAGTAACAAAGTATAATCACGCACCTACACACATTTTAAATAATGTAATCTATTTTGCTACCTATCCAGCACATACACTGTTCCTGAAGTTACACAGACTGCATGCAATGAGCATGGAAGACTAAAGCAACAGTTAATATCTCTTCTCTAAGTGATTAAGTGTTCTCTCCTATCACCTTCTGCCTCACCCTCAAGCATCACAGTACTATTGCAGTTACTCCCCATTTAAAAACAATCATCTAAGATTACCACTTCAGAAATCAGTGAATAACTAGGAAGAATTTAAAAGTAACTAGAGTAACTGGAAAGAATTTGAAAGACATATCTGCCTGTCAGATCTGAACTGCAGGTTCTTCTGACCCCCAGAGATAAGTCCCTTTGAACAAAAGGATGACAAGACAAACATCATAAGGACAAATACCGATACTGCAGAAACTCTGCATTGGTCTCTCTCTTTCTCACTAAGGAACAAGTCCTAACCTTGGGACTAATTGTTGTCAGCTGGCCAGAGTCCACACCGTTCAAGATCAGCATCACTTGAAGCAGCCTGGCTGCGTATCAGCTGGAGCCGATTCAGGTAGAAGCTGCACTGTCAGAATAAGCTTTTTCTTTCCAGATGGGAGTCTGGTCGCAAACTAGCAGACGCATTGTAGGCTACTAGGAACTCACGGAGCAAGCACGACTGACTGTGTAGGTGTAGTGTTTACACAGATTCCAAACCAACACAGTAGTAGGAAAAAAATTAACATAGCTGAAGCCTTCTACGGCCTCGGACGCAAGCGACTCTTAATTTCCAGCCGCTCTCATTATCCCAGCCTAGGAGAGCCGACACGCGTCCTGCCCAACAAGGGCAGGCGCACCACGCGAACGCCCCGCTACCCACAGCGGGAAACCCACACGGCGCGGCACCTCGGGGATGTTCCCAGCAACGCCGCCCAACAAAGCTTCGCCCGTGCGAAACGTCCCTGCGGTCTCCCAAACGCTTGCGAAACTGCCGGCAAACCCCATCCTGCCGAGGTAAGGGGGCAGCGGCACCGGGCGGGCACGGCCCTCGGCCGCTCCAGGGAGAGCGGCGGCACAGCGGGGACAGCGGGGGCACCGGGCACACGGCGGGGGGCACCGGGCACACGGCGGGGGGCACCGGGCACACGGCGGGGGGCACCGGGCACACGGCGGGGGCACCGGGCACACGGCGGGGGGCAGGCCCGACCCTCCTGCCCACCCCGGGCCGCGCCGGCGGGGCCGCCCCGGGAAGGGAAACTCGCCGTGACAGTAACCAGACACCGCACGGGAACAAAAGCGCCCGGACCGGCGGCCACGGCAGGTTAACTCCTTCCCGGGAAAGGGGGCGGAAGGGGAGGGAGCGCGCCGGGAGCAGCCCGGTCCTGGGAAACACGCCCCGAGCCCCGGCCGGTACCGGCCGTGAGTCAGTGCCCCGCGGGGGAAGCGGCGCGCAGGGGCCGGCGCTCGCCGCCCGCCCGGTGCCCCCGCCGGGCCGCTGCTCCCCGGCCCCCGCCCCGAAACCCGCGGGGGGAAAACTCTGCCCGTGCCCCGAGCGGCGGCGGCAGCGCCGGTCCCGTCCCCTCCTCACAACTTTCCCCACAGCACAGCACCCCACCCCGTACCTCGGTGCTGCTCTCGGCCGTGCTCTCCACAGCCATCTTCTGCCACGGGTCCGGCAACTGCGCCAGGGGCATCTTCCCCGCCCGGCTCTCGCAGCCTCCGCGCTCCGCGTTCCCGCTCCCCGGCGGGGGCGGCGAGGCAGGCGGCGAGCGCTCGGGACAGCCCGGCTGGCTCCTGCGGCGACTGCTGCTCCTGCCGCTGCCGCCGTCGCCGCGGTGCGCCCGTCCCTCCCCCGCGCCCTCCCCGCCGCCGGGCGGGGCCGCGCTGCGCCCTCCCTCCCTCCCGCTGCCCGCGCCGGCTTCCGCTCACGACATGGCGCCTGCTCGCCCGCGCCTGCGCTGCCCGGGCGGCCCCGGGCGCCCCTGAGGGGCTGCGGGAAGCCCGGGCTGGGGGAGCGGGAGGCGCGCAGGGTTTGTTTGCACGAACAGCAGCGCGGACGGAGGAGCTGGGAGGTGGGCGGGATGCGGCGTGGTGCAGAATATCGTTAGGCAAAAGAGGGAGAGGAATTAGGGTGTAGGAATTTGTTTTTGTAGCGATATCGTTTAAGTAGTAGTTTGGCTGCGTGAGTAGGAGTTGCCTCGAAGGGGGAAAGTCATAATTCCACGGGCCAGGAGACGCGAAGATAAAGCTGTCAAAAAAAAAATCCCCACGGGTTCTGAAAACAGCCCTTATTTTACTTTTTACCCTCGGCTGTTAGCTAGTACACAAACAGCTGATTTAAACATATACTGAGACGCACAGTCTATGCAGCGCTACATGGTTCTCTTAAAATGTTAAGCACTGTAATAAACACCCATCCTTTAGCAACATCAGCTGGCTTGGCTGATGCTGAAGAATCCTTGAAACATTAGACCAGCAGCCGAAGGTGGGTGGGCTCTGGTGTCAGGCTTCTTGCTGTGGAAGCCAAACCTTCCAGATCTGTTTGAGGAGGACACTTGGTTTTCAACAGCCCCAACTGTCCCGAAGCATTTCTGGATTTTGACAGGCCACGTGCTTTGTTCCATCCTTGGAAAAAAAGCTAACATTCTTTAAATATTTGGAAGACTTTTTTTTTTTTTTTTTTTTGAGTGGGAGGAATGGCAAGAGTGCTTGTAATTAAAAATGTGCGTGCGTTCCTGCATGCTCACACCGCTGTGATGAACACGGGCTACTTCTGTTTCTGCTTGGTAGCATTTTTGATCCTACTTTATATTCATGTAATCATAAATACCTATCTACAAAGAGGTACAGAAGAGTGGATAGGCAGTTTCTTATAATGAATCAGACTTCAGCTGGTCCTGCAAGAGACTTCCATATGTGGAGTGAAAGGTCATAGTTGAATGATCACTTGAAGCCATCACCACTGCCAGGGCAAGCAGCTGTGCCCTCTCCTTGTTCACTGCAGTTAAGTCTGGGCCTTGCATCAGCCTCTCTTTTGAAGTGGTGCGGTTGCTTGCACTGCCATGTGGTGAGTTAGACCAGGGAATAGATTACATCAAAACTAACCCTGCTCTTTGCGCTTTCTGTTGTCCTCAAAAAAACCTCACCAATAAACCCTAGTAAAGGTTGAAGAGAGGTTAGGACTGCTTCGTTTAAACATGGTCAATTTGTGGAACTTTGGCCAGTTATTGATATATGAAATTTAGAACAAGGCAATAGAAAACAGATCATTCAGTAGTGCTTGGCAGCCTTTATGCATAATGTTAATAGTAAGGAGAGAGCCTCTGGTGGTCTAGTGGTAAAGGCGCCGCGCTATCACCGCGGAGACCCGGGTTCGATTCCTGGTCAGGGCCACTCCCGGGCAGGTGGGGCTCGTTAGCCCTTAAAGGCAACCCACCTACGTCCTAAGGACCTCGCTGCCACCGTCCAAGCTCGCTTGGCCCCGGCAGATGAACCTTAGGATTAAAGGGTGGGCTCAGTTCTGCGCACACTGTGTCTCACCTAAAAAATCCAATGCGCAGGCTGGAAGGTGGAAAGACCTTCCCTGGATCTTCGCTCGCGAAGACTGGCCATTAATAGTAAGGAATAAGTTTTTGTAGTCTGGTCAGCACCAGGTCACTTCAGTCTTAAACTGGCTGCTGGAATGTTGAGCAGAAAACTCATTTTTACAGCAGTTATACATTATGTGTTTGACACACAAATCAGGACTTCTAAAAAAATCCTTGAGTTCATGTGAAAATCCATGATGTTAAAAGAATTGTTACCTTCTCCCTCTGGAAATATGAGTTTCTATTCCCTCACAGGGATAGTTCACTTGACCTTATCAGGGCTCAGCCATTTATATCTGCATCAACTACAGAGTCAGGTATGTACATCTGAGATATGCCATTAGGTAGAAGAACCTGAGCAGCTGAAAGATGGCAGTCACAACAGGAAAACTATCCCAAAGCTAAGCTTGCATTTTACAAAGTTCAACAAGTCCCTCTTTATAAAAGACTTCCTTCATCTAAATAAAAAACTCCATTATCATCTCTTTCCTTCCATAGTTGTCTAGTTCTTTCTTGCCATAGGTACATATTCTAAATTACTTGTTTGAAATAAAAACTCTTTTTAGAAGGAGAGTAGGTGTCATGTTTTGGTTAGTGTTTCTACATTTTCTACACTGGTCATCTTTTGTCCTTCCCTGTATGCATCCTACAAATCCAGAATAAAACAAGGGCAAAGATCTTATGCACTAGCATATAAGAGAGCTGCAAACAATAGAAATCTGACCTTCTCTCAGGCACTGAAGTACTGAGTGTAGGTAGAAGTGTGCCATTTCAGTGTTCAGGGGTTTGAGTATTATCACACCTCACATTCAAATTTTATATAGGAGAAAGCTGCATCAGGATTTTAATAGGAGCTACTATGCAAGAACAGACTTCAGGGCAAGAAAATCATCTGGAAATTGTCTCCACGAGGAAGACAAACATATCAGTTAATCTCTGGGAGATGCGGGGGATTCTGACTTTCAAATCCTGCTAAGCTCAGAGTTCGATCATCCTCCCAGCAAGAGGCAAGATGCTGAAGATATTTTGCTTCAAGACAGTAGCTTCAATTTTTTATTCCTTTTGTCTCAGGCCAAAGCAAAGTAATGCTTTCACCTGTCTCAGCAGACCTCTCCTTTTACCCACTTCCCCTCTGGGCACAGCCATCACTGCTTGACTGTAGTCACCACTAAGAACTTTCACCAGACTCACTCATGGGCGTTGATTTCACCTTTGCATAAGTGGTTGCAATCATTATTGCATCCACACAGATGTGTTTCCTGTATTGCAAGGGAAAATTTGATCACCTTTGTTAGGAAAAGGGTAGCATCTGGCAGAGAAATGACAGTGCTGTATAAAATCCCATTAATCTGTCATATGAAATAGTTGGGCTTCACATGCTGCATCATTTTGCTTTTCTTGCTTCTAACAAATCTCACTAAAATGTCACCTGATTGCAAGGGAGACATCAGCTTAATAGGACATACCTGTCTTTCCCCACAGAGGGCATCTTGATATGTGAGTGGCAGAAATTAGGGAAGCTTGCTTAAGGTTGGTGGTGTCAAAGCCTGGCTTTGAAGTAGTACCTACTTACTCTTTGCAATAAGGCAGAATTAATCTCAGAGTTAGTAAATCACCATAGTCATGCCCCAAAAATATAAAACAGAATTAGTTTGCTAATATTACTATCAGAATAATATTTGGGAACTTCAACTTGCATTTTTAAAATACACATAAAAAGGGGGAAAAAAACCAAAGGAAACTATGGCAACAAAACCTACAAACTGACACTCATCTAGAAGGTCTGGTAGTGTATTAGCTGGAAATTATAATGCAGTATTTTCTGAATAGAATACGAAATAGTAAATGCAGTGCAGAAGCGTGAAATTCCATTTCAAGTATTACAACCATAATACTGAGGTATATAATTTGAATTTAATGCACAGGAAAATAAACAGAAGTACTGTCCAATTTACATGGGAAAACCTCCAAGGAGTTTAAAAAAATCAATACCATTTATTTGTATAGCTAGTCGAAAAAGAATCTTACTCTCAAGACACCTGGATTCAATTCCTAGCAGATCACAAAGGACAATTGTGTAATTTAGTCAGTCACTTTTTATAGATGAGTTTCAACTAAGGAGACTTAGTCTTTCCTCATGATGTTTTCAGTAGTGTGAAGAGGCCACGATTGGAGAAGTGTAAATACATCCTGCCAAAATAAACTAAGAAAGCCTTAGTGCTAATTAGAATTGGTTGCTCTGTGCTTTAGTTGCAAATATAAAGACCATCTTCTTAACCTCATTGGGATATTGAAAGGCTGGTTTCATTGATGTTTGGAAAGCTGACAAAGACCAGGGGAGGAGAGTCAAAGTGCTGCAAGAAGTTTCCAGCTGGTGCAAGTTGTCATAGCAGAGACACCAGATGGATTTGCTGTACAAACCAGGGTGAGAGAGAGTTATAATCAATAATTAAAAAGGGAAGAACTGAAATGAATGTCTAGCGTGTGTTAAGACTTAACCTGACCTTTCAAACAACATCTGCTGGAGGGTGCTTTCACCATTACAGGCCCCTGGATGATGGAATCGTACAGGAATGCAAACATTTCCGGCATTTTCCTCTGGCAGGCTCTTCTTTGAAGTTCTAATCCTGCAAGTGTGGTAGAAGATGCAATAATGACAATAAAACCACTTCTAAATCCTATATAAATTAGAGATACAGTGTCTGACTCACAACTTAAAGCTAGCTTTTCTGGATATATATGTGTTTACATAAAATTGCACTGAAAGGGTAAAGCATAATGCATCAGACTCGATGGTACTACTTCCCTGAGTTTTATCTGTGGTCAGTATACTAGCAGGAAATAATTGTGCCTGTGGTTTCTACATCAGGAGTGGAAATCTGGAGTTCAATAAAATACAGCCTCATTAGAGCATACCTGTCTCCAACATATGTTTTCATTTTAGTGTTTCTGTACATACAGATAGCTCAGATTTATCTTCTGAATGACAGAGCTTATCCTGTTCACCGCAGAGTATGAGAAACCTTTTGCTGAGCTTTGAAATCTTACATGGAAACCTGCTATCAAATACTGAATACAAGTTGTCACCCCATTACAGTGGAACATTGAGAGATGGATTAGAATTTCAGATTGTGGTGTTTTGTGACAAAAATGAAATTGTAGAGTATGAACAAGGGTCAGTCTTTGAGGGTTGGGGTTCTCCTGGGTTAAGTATGACAAAAAAA